GTGGCATGCACACATGATAGCCAATCGCAGGGAAGACATGATGTCATCCCAACCAGCGATTGGCCCTTACACGACACACACACACGACACGCACACACACACACACACACATACACAGACACACATACATACACACACACACACACACACACACACATACACACACACACGCACGCGCGCACGCGAGGACGGGACATGCCGCTGGCGATGGCAACCGTCGTCATCCGTCCGTCAGCTGGCGCGCGGATGACCAACCAACTGCACTACCGGTCGCCGGCGAACTGACACGCCCCTCACAGCCCAAAAAAAAAAAAAAAAAAAAAAATCGAAAAAATTGGTGACGGCCTCCCGCAATGCCACCGGCCACAGGTACCCCGTCCGACGGTGCGAGAGGCCGATTCGCCAAATGTGAAAACGCAATTTTTCGAACAAAATATAAATAACTACCGAAAACGAAAAGTACCGCGGGACACAGGCTCGGCGAATTGTGGCGCGCACCATAATTCAGGTTCGGTAAAAACAGGCTCAGAGGTACTAGTGGTTTAAGAAATAGCATAGTTTCATTATAAAGGCGAAAGGAGGCCGGGAATCCCTCCACATCTCAACCCGGACAGAGGAACCAARCCTCCGAGAGGCTAACTGGAAACCGGGTCCAGTGTCCCATTGCTCCTATCAACAGTCTTGCTATTTCTGAAGAAAAGGAGAAAAATAGGCAATTGAAATCTACCAAAAGACACAAAGGGACGAGCTATCTCTCTATCCATGATCCAACAGACATTTGAAACGGTATTCACCAGTTCGCGGTAGCTGATGCAGATCCCAGGGCTCGATCCCTAGTTCCCCAACGTACCTGTGTACAATACCTGTGTCCACCCGTAGAGTTGAACCTATGACCTGTAGAACCGCCAGTGGTAGGTAGGATTTCGTAGATCACAGGGTAGAAGGGATTCGAACTGTAGACCTGTCGGGTAAGAGTCTAGACAGTCCAGAGGTCATAGCTGTAGACTGTCCGAAGGGTCAAGGTCGTAGTTGTAGACTGTCCGAAGGGTCAAGGTCATAGCTGCTACTTACCTAAAAGGGCAAAGTCGTAGCTGCTACAGTACCGAAAGGCCAAGATAGAGGTTTCTAGAAGTGGCCTTTCGGAGTCAGCCTACGTTAGGCAGAGGCAAGTGGTCAAGTGGTGGCAGTCCACCTCGTACAGTCAGCAGTCCCAGTCCACCCAGTGCGGTCCAGTCAAGCAAGTACCGTCTGGGACTGTGTGCACCATGGGCCAGGGACTACAGGGCAGACCAACGCATCGCAGAAGTATAAATCAAGAGGCTGCGCCCAACCATGCATTCATTCATGCAGAAGCCATGCGGAAGCGCTGCCTCAGCGTCTTGTGCAAGGAGGTCTGCAGGAGGCCCGAAGACGAAGTGGGCGAGAGTGAAGCAGTGTAGCCATAGCGATAGGTAGCGGCAGCCATAGCTGCCATAGCTTAGTGTAGAGTGAAGTGTGTGTACTGTGTAAGTGTTTAGAGTGTTGCGTGTGGGACATCCAGGGTGGTCCAGAGTGTGAACAGCGAGTTGTTTGAGCGCAGAGCCGCCATAGCCAGTTGCAAGAGAACTCTTATCTGGTTGCGATATCTCTAAGTACTTAGTGGGCGCATGTTGCCTGTTTGCTGTTTCGCTGTTTACATGCATGAAAAGTGTGTTTGATAACGAATCTGATTGAACTGGTATCGGAGCTGGTACCCGCTGTTCCACGCGCGTCGTCGTGTGCAAGTCCGATGCGCCATAGCTGAGGTGGCGACCGAAGGAGGCAGTCCGCCATACTGGACCTCGAGGTGGAAGAAGCCACCGCGCACCTGCATCAAGAGGACCACGACGAAGAAGAAGGTTGAGAGAAAGAGAGAGAGAGAGAGAGAGAGAGAGAGAGAGAGAGAGAGAGAGAGAGAGAGAGAGAGA